CTCTATCGCCCTCACCCACCTCTTACGACCAAGTTTTACAACGAAGGTCTGGGCTAATATTACCTCATGCTTAACAAATAAGACAATGTGACGCACAGGGGCGTAGCTAGGAATTTTCATCGTTTGGGGGCCCCTTCATTTTGCGTAATATTTAATTTTTAATGTAAATAACATCATTTGGAGGCCCCTCTCAAGTGGGGGCCCAGGGGGATTTTCAAATTCTACCCCTCCTCCCCCCACCCTAGCTACGCCACTGGTGACGCAGTCTATTCTTGATAAATGGGCGCGCACGCAGAACAAAAATCAAGACGTCCCGACATGCCGGTGACTTCCCATGGGGACGTAATTCGAGAATCAGTTGTTTTTAAAAGATCGAAACAGCTTATTATAAACTGCACTAACAATCTAAATATCTAACAGCAGCACTAGGGAGACTATGTTTTGGTGAGAGAAAATGTGATTAAATATGTCGACAGACAATGCAGTGCAGCAACACTGGGCAAGGTGGAAACAACTTCCAGTTTCTCGAAAAGGTATCTATCACCAGTCCTACACTTTATGCCCAGCGGCGGTCAATGGTCACATGACCCACCGCTACACTCTCTTCACCAGCAATCTTAACAGATGTGACACATACTAGAAGCACCAACATGAGCAGCTAGACATTTCATTAGACAAAGGTCACCAGCAATCTTAACAGATGTGACACACAGTAGAAGCACCAACATCAGCAACAATCTTAACAGACACACTAGAAGCACCAACATAAGCAGCTTGGCACTTGATTAGACAAAGGCCATGTATTTTTTTTAATGTATATCTCTTATCGTAGCAATAGAAATACATTAAAACAAAATCTTGTATGGTAAGTGACCGTGTGAAGCTAAGTTCATTCTATCGTCTCATTTGATTCACCATTTTCTCGAAATAAAAAAAATTGTGAAAGTAGTGCTGCCATTATTGGAGATTTTCATTCATGGCGGAAAAACTATAAATAGCTAGCTTTTTTTGGTGTATCTAGTGTACAAAATAAAAAAAAGTATGGGCCCCTTATTTCAAAAAGATTAGAACCTTTTCAAGTCTGAATACGGAACTGAACATAGACTAATATGAATGAATTACATTATTTTTAGCAATCCCTTTTCTTAGGACCAGTGATCAGGGCATTAAATCTTGTGTTTTAAATATTCGAGGTGGAAATTTAAATTAAAATACTTAGGTTAGGAAACATCATCTTAAAATAAAAACATTGCTTTTTTATTGGAGCTTTGATGTGTATCATATAGACTCCAATGCAAATCTTGGGAAACAGAACTCGATCTATATATCAGAGTAGTAATCTTCTTTTGCTGGTGTAATTACTTACACATCACAAATATCTAATCTAGGTTCGAAAAATAAACTAAAAACAAATGTGAATACATTAAAACAGTACAAATTAGTATCCTGGAGGTCTTGGTTCAAAATATGAGCTCCCTGGTGGGCTAGGGGGTTTGCCGTCGTCGTATCCAGGAAGGTCTGTCAGTTCAAATTCATCCCTCGCTTGCCTTCTTTTGGCCTGAGCGGCCATGAATTCTGCATACTCAACGTAACCATCATCGTTAAGGTCTTCGGAATCTAGAGCCGAGTCGATTATGGAACCTATCTCCCTGTCTGAGTACTTCTCCGCCTCTGAATCGTCATCTGAGAAGACAACATAGGAAGAAAAAAAGACACTATTAAAGTGAGCTTGGAGTCTTTTAAACGCTGGCCTGAGGTTGGGAAGGTTGCTTCCCGCTATAATAATCATGCACATGTGACATGCAGGCCTAATTGTTTATCAGAGAACAGAATAGTTAAACCAAGAGTCAGCAACAAATTTTATGCGCTCATAAATAAATAACAAGAAAATTAATATAATAAATGGGAATTCATCAGCTTTCTTAGCTTTCATAAAGTTTGCCGTCGTGCAACTCTTTCTATGTTATCAACCAAACTTATTAGTATATGTCAGAATACTGCGTAAGCCTTAACATGATAGGTAGATGGGTAAAGTTCTCCTTTCAGACCTTGTGAAATATGGGGCAAATGATATAAAGGAAATCTGTTTCTATGGCCCACGGTTAACGAGGATGTCATGTGGCCAGCACAACTAATGTCAGGTACCCATTAGGACTCAGAGGTGCCCTAAAAATCCAAAAAGTAAAAATCCCAGTCTTCACCAAGATTCGTATCCGTGACTCCCGGTTCGGAAGCCAAGCGCTCTACCACTCAGCCACCGCGCCTCCCTAAACATGATAGTTACACTGGAATCGAGTACGTAGTTAATAGGTATTGAAATGCCTTATTTAAATACTGGAATCGAGTACGTAGTTTATAGGTATTGAAATGCCTTATTTAAAATAGCTGCCTGGTCGCGTGGTATGCGCTCTGAACCGTCGTTCGGTGGTCTCAATGGTCCCGGGTTCAATCCCCGCAGTCCTTCTGGGGTTCGAGCACTTAACAAACTTTATTATTGGTAAGAAAACTAAAGAATCCCTTCTTAGAAACGAAAATATTTAATCCATAAGCAAACACTATATATCAATCAATAATACGCTTTAGAATTCAAAGTCAATAAATAAACAAACAAAATAGATATAACATGAAGCTTAAAAAAACTGATTTTGGACTGTCATATTAGCTCGTCTAGTTTGTCAAATTAAATGTTGTCATAAAGAAAATGCATGTAAAAGCTTTTCATTTCTCCCCTACCTATTTACTCTTCTATTTAGAAACTCCAAGCTATGAGAAGCCAATGTATAGATAAACTTAATCTGTTCACTTCTCTTGCAACATTAACACGCACACCATAGAGGCATGATATCTATAGACTTTAAGAACATAGAGGCATGATAGATCTATAGACTTTAGGGACATAGAGGCATGATAGATCTATAGACTTTAAGGACACTATGCAATATAATGAATACATTGTTGGTAATCCATTCAAATCATCAATGCATAGATTTGTCATGGCATATGTAGTTACAGATGAAAATGTTTACAGTTTGTGAATGTTTAGTTCCTTTCATTTTACATTGTGATCCTTAAACTTGTTTCGCAGTCATTTTTTTTTAAAACTCAACTTGACTTTTAGAAGTTACAAGTCCGGCAAAAAGGAGGAACTCTCCAATGCAGGGAAGAGACGAAAGCTGAGCTGGTTTAGTCATGTGGTAAGACACGACTCACTGTCAAATGTCATCTTTCAAGCAAGTTCAGGGTAGAGTGGAGGGAGCAGGAAGAAAGGATCGTCCAAAGAAAAACTGTCTTGACAAGGTAAAAGAATGGACCGGCCTCCCTCTTGCGGATCAAATGGAGGGAGATGGTCATGTGAACTGTCACAGCGCCCCTAGGACAAAAGTAAAGGGACAGCTGAGGTAAGAAGGTGGATTATCAATCAATATTTTATATGCAATATACGTATATAAAATCAATCGCCAAACTCATGAATCTCTGAATTAATCCTTGACCACTGCAGTAATATTGTAAAAAAAAAAAATAATAATAAAAATAGCATTGTTATCTCCCTTGAATGTTAAAAAACCTCAATTATTCATGATCATTATATATTATTGATAGATCAATTATATTAAACAGACAAGAATGTGAATGGAATAGTAAGAGTTAGGGCCGAATTTAAGTAAGTGCCTCCCCCACATGGCAACATTTTTGTGGATGCCCCTACACTTTTTGAATAGCCTAAATAAATTCCACTTAATAACACCGATATCTAAAGGTATGCCAGATTGTAGAAAAAAAGGTGAAACACTTGTACATTTAATCATTTTCCTTTAAAAAAAAACAATTTTAATATGCATATTTTAGTCAAATAAAATGTATATTTATGAATTTGTGAAGGGTAAGCCTAGGTTGGCGCACTGTTGCAAATCTGAAGCTGCTTTAATATATTTCATGCACGCTACAAGCGGCACAAGTGTTGTCGGTAGAATAAAAAAAGTATTGTAATAGTGAAACTTCTGACCCTTTGTGTTAAAATAAACTCTTAAATTGAAATAATAAACACTTTCATAATGTCAACAAGTTGTTTTTTTCAGCAATCTTGGCTTCCAGTCTGTGTCCCGTACGTATGGGCATAACTCGTCATACAATATATCTAAAAGGGGGATAACACACAATAATAGGCGAATTTATGTAGTGGACGAAACATTGCATCAACACTTCGAAATTCGCATTTTTTTCCTTATCTCTTTTACGGAGGTCATATCATGTGGATTCATTTGGGGCATTAGCCCTGCTTGGTCTACCTTAAATCAGGCCCTGGTAACAGTACAGTTTCCTTAGTACTTGCCACATGCCGGTAAAGTGTTACTACAAGATTTGTTAATTTCGCATACCGGTATGATATTTAAGAAAAACCAGAATATGAACGTATATCTTGTGTGCTATTGTAAGATGACAATGCTGTACAAATGCACAATTGTATAACAAATTTCTTCACGGATAATAAGGAATAGTATTGTATTGCATTAATACTTGCTACATGCTGTTAAAGTGTTACTACAAGAGTTGTGCAGGACAATGTGGCTCATTCTATTCATGCAATGGCCAGGATAGCTTCAGTTTGAGATGCCAAACAAGTGCTTCAAAACTTTTTTATTTTAAGAAGTTTAACAGTTTTAAATTTGCAAGGATACACAAAAAAACAACAAAAAAAAACAACGTGTGAACAAATCAAGTTCAATTGTTTGGAGATTAAAAAATAAATAAAATATGTAAAAAAAAATGATGCTCATTTGGAGACACTCTTGTGTTCAAGAGAACATTTTGACAAAAGGTCTTGAATAAAAAACTTGAGATCTGTATCTTCAGCAAATTACTAGCGATAGACAACTGGCTAATAAAAAAAATATAAACTGGAAGACTAGGAATGATTCAAATATAAGAAATTCAGATCTTGTATCTTCAGCAAATTACTAATTATGGACAACAGGTTAAAAAAAAAAATGGAAGACTAGCAATGATTTAAATAATTTGTTTAATAACATTCAAAATGTACATCAAACAGATCAACTAAAAGTCAAAGGTCATACATTTAAAAAAAAAAAACAACAACAGTAAAATACTGAACATCCTTTTGTTGGGAGATGATACACAATTACTGACGCAAACATGTGAGAACTCATATTATTTTAATTAGCTTCATATAAAATAAAATTCGGCAGTATTTTATGCCGTGTTGCCAAAGCTGGACACTTAAGAGACTTGATTAGTTATCTTAAGTTTCATTTTCTTTTAAATTATGGATTTTTCTTCAATCATTGTAATTAGATAAAACTATGTCTCATTAAAATTTATTTTAAAAAAAAATGAAAATAAATAAATAAATAAAAAGATTGTATCACACATTCATTTATGAAAATATTTGTCTATTAGAAAAAAAATATACTAAAAAAGGGTTTTAACTTATTTATTTTGTGCTATACCAAAGGTGATTTTTCACATGGTAGCATAAACAATTGTGCTTGTCGGCAACTAAATTTTTTAAAAAAGTAGAAATAAGTGGGATTAAATGAAACAAAGAAAACAAAAATCTTCTATTCCAATAAACTTGTAAAATCATGTCACAAGTTCTAGTTCCAACAAATTACACACCTCTAAGCTGTAGACAGAAGATCAGTTTGTTTTCTTGAATTAAAAAGTTGAAATAATGTAATCCTTCACCACAAGATTTAAGAAACAATAAAATCATCATTGACAGGTGGAAAAAAAAGGAGGGGGGGCGGGGGGGGGGGGGGGGGGGAGATGATCACAATATTCCATCACCAATAAAAATGACCCCAACATAAAAACATTAGCTACTCATCTAATATACATCCATAAGTTACACAAATATTAATTATATGCATTGTTTTTAATTTATACAACAAAATATATGGCAGTGATCAAGTAATGAGCATTTGACATACAGGTGATGATCCCAAGGCTGTGGGTTTGAGTCCTTGTGGAGTCAACAAGATTTTTTTTTTTTACTTGGGATTGTAGAAATGTATTTCCCAAAATGAGACAATGTCAATCAGGTAGGTCATTGTTGCTGAACTCTTTAATACCCTTGTGAACCACGGCTATGAGACAGTTATCATCATTTGCGTCTGCCCCAAAGACATGCACTCAGATAGTGAAACTTTACTTAAGGCCCAAAAAACATTTGATTTCTCCCTCACAGAATACACTCTGGAATGCAAACTTGTTAAAAGAGTTCCTGGAAACTTAAAAACAGCAACAGATAAATGCCTGGCTCAGTGTTTCAGTGGACAAGAAACATGAATATTCAACTTGTGACCTAAAGCAAATACACATATACACACACTACCACCAAAACATACATTTATGTAAGTCTTAAAATATAAATACTTTTTCGGACAGCAAAAAGTTCAGTTCATGAACTTTGACATGACAACAGAAATAACAAAATCACACTTTACTTTAAAAAAAAACTTCAATATAAAATTAAATCAAAATTCATAAAACTTGTGTAAGTTTTCATGTATACTCAAGAAGTTTTATCTAAACAAACTGATGATGTATTATTTAAAAAAAAGGGTTTTAATTTAACACATAAAATGATTAAAAAAATAATAAATTTAGTAATACTATTCACTTTTTATTCTTGACCTCTTTAATTTTATATACTTTAAACACAATTATAAAAGTGTACAACTTTTTAAACAAAATTGACTATTTTAAGATGAATCTAATTTTTTAAAAGATTTTCACTGAGATATATTTGATATTTTGGGTTTTAGGGACCAGATTTTGATTTCCTTTATGAGACTTGAACAGTTTTTGATATCCTTTATGACACTTAAGATATAGGGCTCAAATCATCACTTGCAAATACCACCAACAGAGACCCAGCTGTTATGCATACACACTTATCTGAAAGCTAAGAACATTTTGCTAGCAATGGCCAAATATAGCAGAAACAAAATAAATTAATGATTTTCGTTTTGTGTTTTATCCTGTTCTGATTTATCATGGCAAGAAAAATTGACTGAGAATATTTTCCAATGTTATTCTCAAACTTCTTTAAATAAGATAAGCAGACTTTTAATTTTAACACTGATTTAACTCCCCCTTATGTGCCCTGCTGCTCTATCTCCCCTTGTCCCATTACTAAACAGACTGTTGGAGACAGTACAACTTTCCATGAACTAAATAAATAAACTTACAGGAATGTGGCTAGAGGAACAACAGAATTATATATTGATGGTAACAAACTGTAACAAAAAGAGATCTTGGAATAATGCTAGGAGAATGGTATACGTTTCAACTACATTTTTTTTAAAACACATTTAATCAAGATATGAATCTTTTAGCTGCACAGAACTGATACACTAATTAAATTCTGCATCTGAATAGTTCAAGACTTGGATCATTCAATGTCTTACATTTTAATTACTGGGCAAAAAAATAAAGTTTTAATATAATTTTTCCTACAACCAGGAAGAGTTTTTTTGTTGAAGACAATTCCTGCTTTGTGAAGCTTATGATGGTATGTAAAAGTGATCAATTCACTTTTATTAACTAACGTTTGTTTTTTTTTAAAAAAAGAAGTCACCCTCCATCCAGAAAAAATCCTGGTTACGCCCATGTATAATCTCTAAAATTCTAGCTAGGTGATATAGATCTAGACATGATTACATTAAAAGATGTTAGTCTAGACTAGAATACTGGATCCACATCTAGTTAGAGATATGGTACAGTATTTTCTAGTTTGTTAATATAGATCAAGAGTCAGAAACATTGCCATATAGTAGTATAGACTAGAATACTGGATCTAATTAGAGATTTGATACATAATATAAGACACAGAATATAAGACATTAAAAAAAATTATGATGGTCAAACTAGAGTTTTCCATGTGTAGCCAATTAACTTGTTTTTTTTCTCAAAAGATATACATAAATTTTCGAATTTCTAGGAATATCATTAAGAGCCATTTTCAAGATCCTTGTTCACCCAAACACTCAGGTTGTTTTTTTGAACCCATGAAGAATTTGAAAGCTGATAATAGGAGTTGTAAAAATAAATAAGGTATTTAAGTATGGGACTAACATACAAATGAATATGCGCATGTCATATATATATAAATGTGGTCCCAACATGCATACAAGCATTGGCCTACCATTCAAGGTCATCATGGGGCCTAATTGAACAAAACTAATATTTTTAAATGGTTAAAAAATGATTGTCAAAAACACAAATATTAGAACATATCTGATTCAATATGAATTGAAACAAACCATTAGGATTGAAATATTTGGATTTTGTATAGTTTGTAAAGCTGATGGCATTATAATTAAATACATTTATAGGAAAAATATGCACACACAACTAACAGCACAAATACCAATGTATATTGTTCAAACTATCTGGCTTTAGAAGATTAGTAGAAAACATACCAACTTGGAATGAAGGGCACCTACTTTTGGGTCATAGGTCTAAGTGAACACAAAATGTATCATACAAACATATCCAGAGGACATGTTGAAAGATCTTCACAAGTTTTGAGACCTACTATAGTAATAGTTTAAATGTTGGTTTATAACAATGTTTTACAACCAAAGACTATATGTCTGAACTTTTACTTAAATAAATATTAGATTTACTACAGACATGGCAAAGTATGTATTTGAGTTTGATACAAAGAGAGACAACTCATTCTGGAAATAATAAATAAATATAAATATGGATCACTGACCACACAGAGTTATAGAACCTTGCTTCAGTTACACAGAACATAACTGTGCAATTTGATTTTTAAAATAGACAAATATTTAAACAGTTGATGTAAGCATTTTATAAAGCATATAAACTATGTTGCCAACTTCATTAATTATCTAAATATTCTAGGAAGAAATGCCATGCAGAATAAAGCAATTATGGATACACTGATGTGTATACATGACAAATAGAAATTTGTTTTCTCAGATAAAAACTAGAAACCATTTTCTAAAACAGGTTTTGATAACTGCTAGAAATGCAAAGGCTGCCTTTCACCATCATCATAAAAACCAACAGTTCATATATTGAATATCTTTCAGGCCAATGTCTAAAGGCAATAACTTCTAGGAAAGCCAAATTAAAAAATTTGAGTCATATGCCACACACATACACACTTACATCAAAACACTTACTCTCCATGTACCTACATGTTTTGAGAGCAGAGGAAAGGGAGGCTATCATTTTATAACATTCCATGGAAAGCTTTAAAAAAAAAATGTCAGGAACATAAATAATCTCAGAGAATGCCAACACAGTACAAGATAAGGAGAATGATTTGTTTTGTTTTATTGCAGTCTTAATTCTGTATAATTTAAGTACAATATACAGTCTGTTTGTTTGACCAACTTTGGTCGGAAGTAGGTTCAAGGGTCAGAAGTTGAGTTGTTGGGATTCAGATCGACTGCACTACAATATTAGATTGGCCAGGATAATATAAAATATATAACGGATTGGACTAGAGTTGTTCAGTTTTTTTGCTAGCTACAATTCATTTGAGTACATTGTGATCAGTTATAAGCAAACAGAGACTAAAAAATTAACAAAATAAACCAAACAATTTTGTAAACAATATTTTTTTGGGGTATGAAATAGAATATTTCATCAAGTGGTAGAACTTTTATAAAGGCCTTGAGTTTTGTTGACCTTGGATAATGAACACACAAAAATTAGGAGTAGAGAGATTTAAATATTCCATTCTGTCGCTCAGATGAACCGAAACTTTGGGGGACTATGGGTTGTTTGGCTTGTCTCTGCTGTTGGCTTGGCGTCGCTTGAATTCAAAGTATTCAATGTAGCCGTCATGGTTTTCATCATTCTCCTGTATGACAGAGTCCACAATGTTGGAGATCTCAGAGTCTCCAAATATCTTCTGCTCCTGGTTATCTTTTTCATTTTCTGAAAGTAAAAATTTGGGGGGGAAGGGTTCATAGGTTAAGGGTTAGACAGACAAGTCAATGAATGCAAACAAGTGTTAGCATACTGTAAAAGTATCCATCATGCAAAGGCAAACAGCAGAGAAAGAGTAAGCATTTGTTTTAAACTTTTGCACTCAGTCACTTGTAGGCAACATGTATCAGCATTACTATTTGGTATGAATGACATGCAAGAAATCATGCATGAAAAATTCTTAAAATAATATCTATCAACTGTAATTGTTCAGGTTTAGATACATGTACTATGTTGCTTTTTTTTTTTTTTATTGTATAGGGCTATGGATTTTGGTGGCTGTTTAGCCAAGCATGCATCTGCTGGCCACACATTACTATTGCATTAGGCATGCCAAAATTTTGAATTAATATTATTCATGGTCTACCCAATGATAAATGGCTATATGAAATTCTTTGACAAATAAATGTGGTTGGTCAATATGCTAACTACACATACCACATTTGATATAAAAGCAATAATTATGTCCTCCCCATGAAATAATAAAAAAAAAAAAAGAAGAAAAATGTGACTTTAAAATTTGTGCCAACACATGCACGAGCTGTTTTGTGTTTCTTGGAGTGATTTTATTTTAGTAACAGTCCGAAAATCATAGTGAAAATGCATCGATTTTTTGTTTCCTTTTAAACTTCTGAAAAAACAACAAAAAAAAACAACAAAAAAAACAACAAAAAAAAAACAAAAAAAAAACAACAACAAAAAAAACAACAACAAAAAACAACAACAACAAAAAACAACAAAAAAAACAACAACAAAAAACAACAACAAAAAAAAACAACAAAAAAAAAAAACAAAAAAAAAACAACAACTTGTTTCAATGTTCCTATTAAATAATTATTTTTATTATGTTGAAGTTGATTACTTGTTAACCCTAACATATTTTTTCTTTCTTCTCTGACATTTTTTATAATACAACCATGTGTTTAGATCTTTTTAAGAAGTTGCATAAGCAAGTTTTCATAAATGTCTAGAATGTAGTCACTTACTTGCTCCAATACCAGCTTGCAATGTGCAGCCATCCAGAAAGTCCATGCTCCTGAGACACAAATACAACTTTCTTACCTTCAATATTTGTTCTACAAAAGTTCACAATCACAATTTCTCCCTTGGGCACAAGTGCCAGTCTTCTCTCTGCATGCAATTTTTGAAAATAAACATTACAACATGTTGTCCCCCCACCCACACTTCATTGCTGTAATTAGATTAAGGTTTAGTTTAAAAAAAAATGAAATCAAAAAAAAAAAAAGGGGGTTGATGCAAATAATGTTTATTAGTTTAAATGACAATGGTTTCTAAGTGTTAAGCTAAACAGTGTTAAGGTTAGTCAACAATCAAACATATTTCATCCTGCAATATCAAAAATACTTTGTAGATGCATATGAAATTTTTTTTTGTGATAAATCTACTGAAGGAAAAAAAAGCATTCAATCAAGACCAATGTTAAAGAAGGCCTGAACACTGACCTGCAACGTCACAGCCTGTGGGCAGTTTAGACCAATAGCTTGATATCACCTCATATAGACCTATAATGTGCCGACAAGATTTTGGTTTAAACTGCCACCAGGTTCTGATGTTGCAGGCCAGTGTTCAGGCCTTCTGTAATGATTGATCTCAATTCAATTAATGCTTTGTATTTGATTATTCACACAGCTTTAACTTCAAAATTTTAGTCTTAAAAAAAAACAAACAATGTCATTTTCAAAACTTGACAAATAAACACATAAATGAAACATAAATTTCAAAAAAATAATTTCTTATTCTACAATATATGAGCTCTGATAAACCAAAATTTCAGTAGATTTAGCCAGATATAATTTTATTACACAATTACTACATAAATATGGCAACAAAAATCTTCAATGTGATGAGTGATTATTGGAAATATATTGGACACAAGATTTATACAATTCCTAAAATAATTTCAACTACTTAAACATAAACAAAAAGAAAAAAAAAAAGGACAAATAGCTCCATAATAATTTAGAAATGAAATAAATAAAACAGACATAAAGCAAACAAAAGGGGAAAAAAAAAAAAAAAAAGCTAACAACATAGACGCTTTCAAATCAAGAGTTACAGTTTTTTAAAAGTGCAAATAAAAAAACAGGGCTGTAAATAAAACAGAATAAATAAATAGTCATGCATAAACAAAAATCTGGAAGAACTCTCTGTCCACCTGACAGATCTAAAGAATTTCGCCTGTTGACAAAAGTATAAGTAATTCATAAAAAAAAAGAATTATGAAAGTTGTTTTTTTATGCTTTGATCTTTCCTACAAACTTGAATTGCCTTTGAATCAAGCAAAATCAAATGATAATGTAGATCTCAAATTTAGATGACTGTTCACACAACTGAAAGTATTGGTATCCCAAAAAACACAACATTTTCCAATACCCAAAATTGAAGCTACCAAAATAAACCAACAAGAGGCATGCAGTGACTGACCAATTTATAGAGAGACCAATCTGTGACCCAAAAACACAATCTTTCTTGTACAGTAAGAAAAAAACAAAACAAATACCAAGAGCACCAGAACAAATTAAAGGATGAAAAACCAGCTGCCTGTCACTTTATAATATTTCTAATATTAGCTTTTATAGATTATGCAGTAAAAAGAAAAATGTATGACCTCCAGAAACAGATTAACTTAGAATTTCTCGCACTACTTTCTGTATAATGTCCATTTAGAAAGGGCTACGACTGTGATTTCTGTTCACTTCTGCTTTGTAAGGCAACTTTTCGAAACTCAAAATACTCAACATAGCCATCAGCGTTAGAGTCAAATCTCAAAAGAATGGATTCAATATTTTCTGACAGAACTTTCTCCTCTTCATTTTTCTCTTCTAAAGTTTTAGTGGCAGGAACTTCTTCTGTAGAATTGGATTCTGGGGATACAAAGTAACAGAAGTAGGGATAAGCATAACGAGTAGATGGGAGAGGTTCTTTCTCACTTAGAGCAGGCACTGGAAAGAACACTTCTTAAATGACGCACCACGTGCAGGCATCCCACAGCTGCGAGAAAACAATGAAATAAAAATAATCCCAAAGAAAACCAATGGACATCACTTCGTGGTGCCAGAAACAACTAAAGAATTGTAACTAAACAAGTGTAACCAGCAAAAAAAATAAATACATTTAAAAGCAAGATATAAAAGAAAATGATTGAAAATTAATTTATCCCATGACTGGCTCAACATTATTGATGTTCTAAAAATTTTGTTTATAAACTTGTTATGGTCTTGTTTTGTAAAACTAAGATTACAAAAATAAAAAACAAAATAAACAAAACAAGCTTTTTATATTGTAACACCCCAATTAATCAAACATATCACCAATATAGCATTACATTTATGATATGAATGTTTATTACGAGAGCCAGTCAGTTCAGTGTCACTACAGAGGATCCTAAACAGAGCAATATAAGATTTTAACATTTGAACAACAGAAAAACAAAAGGATGGGAACGGCACAGTGTAACCTGCAGCCAACTTTGTGAATCTAATAATTCTTATCAGCAAGCCAAAAAAGTGGAAGAGTGGAGTGTGTGTTGCCTTTTTAACAACTTATGCTAATTATACCACAGACTGAGATGATGTGACATACAGTGTGACCACAGACTGAGAAGCCTTGCTAATGTGACTTACAAACTGACAAACTCTCATAATTACAATGACATCTTAATTAATTGAATGCACATCTAGTATTATATATATATATAATACAAAACAATTTTTTTTTAAATGACAGGCTAGAAGGAATTAATTTTTAAAATGGTGAGATAAATCAATAGCTAATTTGTTGTTTTGCTTCTGAGAGTTGACTTCTTAAACTCAAAATATTCTACATAGCCATCAGAGTTTAAATCAAGTGAGTCAAGGATGGGATTTATAGTGCTCTCCAAGTAGTCGTCTGATCTGATCCGGATATCTTGACCTTCTGAATCAAGAAAGTGTTCTTCTGGAATGTTGACCTCTATAGAACAGGAACAAAAGGAAACAAAAATCATCCACTGGGGCATGATGGGAAGGTTTCATTTCATTGCACACACTAGTTTCTTATACTGATCGAATATAAATCTTAATACAAGATGTAGCACAGGTTTATATACTTGTAGTGAAGTTTAGGATCCAGACCATTGCATCCTTCTGATAGAAGTGCCCTGGTTACTTGCAAATACCAAATAAACTCCTTAAACCATCAAAACACAGACCATTATACTATCAAGTGAATGTGGAATAACTAGGTTATTGTTAAATTAAAGACCTGACAGTTTAGGAGAAAGGACATCCAATTGAAAGCAATGAGCAATGCACACATCATGGAGGAAAATGTAAGAAAAAGATTGACCGCTGCCTAACAAACCATTAAAAACATTTTACATAGCAAAGAATCATAAACAGGTTAAATTTAGAGAATCTGTTTATGATGACTCAGTTTTTAGGCCAGGCCCTGATCTCAATGACTAAACAAAACATACAAAAACAACAAAACTTTTACCTATTGATGCGTTTTCAACACAGATCATCATCTTGTTTGATCACAATGTTTCTAGGCAATATTTTCATATCAAATAATGAAGTGCTTCTTGTCACATCGGAGAAAAGCATCTAATCCTTTCTACACCATTAGCCAGACATATATAGATGTGCATTCAAGAAACAATTATAAAAAAATAATATGGTGCAACTAATTATTTGGTGCACAACATGATCACTCCTGCCTCAATCTTACTAACAACATGTTCTACTGAGGTTAAACTAACCTTTCCTCTGTTAATGTAACATAATGTTAGTATTTATTTCATAAGAAACGCAGAAAGATCATATATAGATGTAACTACAGTGCAAAGAATGCCACGAGTATACAATGAAAACATAGTTAATAATTGTTTTATAAGTTAAACTTTAAAATACTTATATATATTTTACTTATTTTACTTATATATTGAAAAATGTCTACAAACAAATGTTAAAATATTCTTTTGAAGGCATGTCTATCATTTTTTTCTAAAAATGCATAAAAATGTTTAGTAGACATTGACAAGAAAACAAAGTCAACAAGCTAAAAAAATCAAGTATATTTGTCAAGAATAAAATAATGTACACATACTTTAAAACTCAGGGCCACAATTTTAACAAAAAATGAACACTGACTTGAAATTATTTACTTTTTTGCTAAATCCATTTTTTTTTAATCGAAAGACAGTTAAAATAAATATTTTATCAAATTCTTTTAAGACAATTTCATCATCTTTGAAGGAAAAACATTCTTGATTTTCACTAACATCTGTCTACATCTCCTGACCTCAAGAAAATTACTTGCTTGGTAGCGTTGCCTTTGATTTACTTTGGAGGACTTTCCTCCTTCTGAGCTTTAGAGACTGTCTTAAACTCAAAATATTCTATCACCCCATTTTTGTCCGTGTCATAAAGCCCTAAGACAATGTCTATTGTGTTCTCCAGGATGGCATCACTTTTTACTCTGCTGTCATTACCATTTTCATCGATATAGTCTGCATCAGTCTTGTTGGTCTCTATGTGGAAGTCAGGGACAAAGCAGAATTTAGTTCACAGGACAATAATTTAAAGTTAAATGGAGTCAAATTTTTTGGAAGAAGAAAAAAAAAGTTATCCTCAGATCGTGATGACCATTGCTTAGTCAAGTAAGTGTGTGAGCATTCAGGCAAATCATTCCACAAGAATGTTCTGACCCACAACATTCATATTCAATTAACAAGACACTGTCTTGCACAAAACATTCATATTCAATTAAAAAGACACTGTCTTGCACAAAACATTCATATTCAATTAAAAAGACACTGTCTTGCACAAAACATTCATATTCAATTAACAAGAACATCCAGCCTCATGAATTTGGGAAAGGAAAAACATAGTCCCAACACCAAAAGCTAAATTGAGTAAAGGATCAAACTGCATGGGAGGGAGGGAGAGAGAGGGGGTAAATAGGGATGTTAAAAAGAGGATCATAACCATTACTGAAACAAATTTTTTTAAAAATGTCATTGCTCATTAAAATATTGAAATGCCAAAAATGAATTTTAAAAATTGTATAATGTGATAAATGAAACTGAAATTGTTAAGCTGTTTGATAGAAGAGTACAAAACAGAAATTGCTGTTTATCATTCTTGAACCCTTTTTGTAAAGATCAACAATCTGATCTTTATTGATTAATCTTCTGGACATCATGATAATTATACATTTTCTTTAATACAGGCACAAAAGAAATAATTTTAAAATGCTATAAAATTGTATCTTTAAGACTCAACATTCAACAATAAAATATATGTACAGAATAGTTATAAAGTGAAGATATGTAGGGTACATACAACTTTTTTTTCTTCATTCAATCTGAAGAAAATCATGTGTTATTGTACAAATGTTTCAAGTCCTGTGTTCTGGTGGGGGACCTCGGTCTCTATTTGTCCTAAACTCTATGTAGTTGACATAGCCATCATCATTGGAGTCTAGAACACTGAGGACACCATCAACACTGACTGACATCTGCCAGTCAGACACTG